GGCTGCGGTTCCAGTTAAATAACGGGGCTGTTGATGGTCCTTTGTAAGTTGGCTCTTTGGGCAGGTATGCTTTTGAGATCCCGATGATTCATGCTGCTTATGTAAGGGAGGCGTGGGTAGAGGTAATCCTTTTTATTAGATTAATTTACAGAGCTGGAAGATGGCAGCGAGGTTTTGGCCACACGAACCCGTCCCCTTTGGGGCTGAAAGGGAAGCAGCAACAGCAGAGCTGGGAGGCTTCTTAGGCAGGTATAGCCCATCAGAGAGCAAGGGAGCAGGCACCAGGGGAAAGAGACACACACATGGAAGGGTTAACGAGAAGGAGAAAGGCTCTGATTTTGCCAAGAAATCAGGTTTTTGTCCATGATTTTTTTAAATCTGTACAATTACAGATTTTACTTCTCAGTAAAAGCACTTTACTCCTTGGTTTCAAGCCCAGTCTCCTGCTCAGACAGACAGTAGCTCCTGTGAGCTGTAAGGAAACTGGTTTGAGATGAAAAAAAGAGGGCAGAAGAACGTTTGCTTATGGAAACCGTCCCAGGGCTGCAAGGAAGCAGTCAGAAAAGTTTACGTGGCTTTGGGAAACCCAGTAAATAGGCTGCGATGCTGAATTTGGAAGGCCTTCAGTTAGCAAAACAGTGGCTGGAATAAGCCCATGAAAGGAAGATGGATGCTCCTGGCAATGATGCAGACCTGTGATTTCGTGCCCAGCTAGGCAAGGAAATGGGCAGCAAGATCAGAGGCTATTTTGATTCAGCTCCTAGGAAATGAGCAGGTATCGCCAAGCCAAGAAATGAGGCCGTGCCACCGCACAATGGCTGGGAAGTGGAAGGGTGGACTAGATAGCAGTATTCACACGGTCATTATCAAGATAGGCAATTACCAGCCCTGGCTTTTCAAGGCTAAGTTACCCGTTCAAAGGCAGGCCACAACGCCAAATGATTCTTGCTCTTTGCCTGCAGCCCCCCTCCTCCGGGAAGGCTCCTACCTCCCCTGCCGGTGCTGACAGCAGGAACACAAAGGGAAGACCCAAAAGTGTCTTTATGCGTGGGGCTGTGCGGCTCAGTGGCTTGACCCACAGCTGGGGCAGCAGGCAGGGTTTCGTAGCTCTGCCGCCTTTGCCGAATCCACTCTGCAGGGGGAGGATCCGCGTCTCGGCAGCACCGCGGTGACCTCGAAGAGGAACAGGAGAGAAACAGCAGTGGACAGTAAAAAACATGCTGTGAGGAAGTGGGGCTAACAGAAGAAAATCTCTGATATCAATTAGCTGCTGCCCAAACTTGTGCTGGCATCGTTCCCGATTTCCACCAGCATAAACAACATCAGAACAGGTTAAAATGGAATGAGCCGAATCTATGGATTATTGTTTTTAAGACCAATCGAGAAGAAATGCGATAATAGTTCAGGAAAGGGCGGTTTTCATAAGGACAATGATGGGGAAAACCAAGGAGTCAGCACTTTGCCAAAACATTATCCCCAGCACCAACTTTAGGAAGTTGGCTCTGAGCCTAAGGAGGGAGCCTTCCCATCACACCCCATGGCAAGCACAGCTGACACCCCTACCCCACGCTCACCAAGGGTCCTGGGACAGAAGGATCTGTGCTAAAGGAGATCCTGGGGCCTTAAACCAGACCTAAATGTGGAGAACTTGAGTTCAAGTGCTGTCACCTGCTCAAAATCCTCCTGTTTCCAAAAGGAGCTGCACACCAAAGGCCTTACCCTCCCTTGTGCTTGGAACATGCAGCTCCTGTGGGCTGGGGGTAAATCTGGCTGTCTTCACTGCTTTGCTTTTCTGCCCATCATCCATGTCCCAGAGTCCAACCAGCCAAAGGAAAACTGTAGTCAAGTGTCTGAATCTAACACCAGAACTCTGGAGGGATTCCCAATTGTGTAGGATTGCTGAGCAGGCTGCACGAAACCGACCGTCTCGGCATCCGCTCAAGTGAAGTCACTGTTGAAATGGAAGTCCGTATTTTAGGACTGGCAGGCAGACAGCAGTTCTGCCAGCTTACGATGTTGTTGCGTGCTGTTCTCACCTTTGAGCAACCAGTGTGCTTTCATATGGCTGTGGATGCTGAATTAGGGATTGTAAGAGAACTTCAGCATCAGCCTTACGAATTTCTTAATTTTTTCCACTTAAGAGAAAAGGTGGCATGATCAGACAGCAGGAAGAAAGCAATCCATGCCCTTGAAAAGCCTCATCA